AAAAATGTTCCAGAGGGCTTGGCAGCGAAAGGGTTAATAGTTTCTGAGAAACAGATGTTTGAATATGTAGCTAAATATAAACACCTAAAATAAGATGGCTGCCAGGGAATGTGACTTATGACCTTTATGTTGGAAAAGATTAAGCATAGCATAAATCTATACCATTGGGCCAAGTTGCATCAGTTTATGAGTAACAGTGACCTTTTTACAGGCTTTTGAAAAAAAGGCCATTGACACTAAAAAACGCTATCTAAATATAATTGACTTGCAGCAGCCATTTTGCTTTTGGGATTGGGTCTATTTCTACAACCGTGGTAGAAGAGGGCGCCCTGGACATATGTGCAAAGTTTGTAATAATACTGATATATGGGGGTGGATTTACTAACCTTACAAACACGCCACAAACAAGTATACACCTCTGTACTGTGTTCCCTCCCAGCATGAATCTATTGGTGGAATCGAGACACCTTTGTAGTGTGTACACACCCAGCAGGTGTGTTGTGCAAAGCCCTGCATGAATTGCAAGGTGATGTTGTGTAAATTAGCTCTGCGTTGTGTTGCTTGCGTTGATGAATGCAGGAATGTAAATGCATGAGCTAACCATTTTTGTCTAAACTGTGATGCACTCATGTTTTTGGGAAATTATTTAGGTAGTGCAAAAAATAATGAAAGTCTCCCCATAAGTGGAATTAGGAACACTTAAAAACTGCCAAGAGGAAATAAGCTTTCAAAAAACAAACACTGCTGGACAGTACAGAATGGTTGGAATAATAGTTGCGCGTCAACACGCTGCTATTCAATTTACCAAGAAATCGTGAAGAATCGGTGTGCTCATGTTTCTGGGCTTAAGAAGCGTGTGAACTTTCCTACACACATGTGCAGTTGGCTCATACAGAGCTGAACACGTCAGTGGTGTGTAAGTTCCATTTTTTGAATACTGTTTTTAGCATTTTCAAAGTGTTTTTTGGGATGGTTGTAGGCATAGAGGTGAAGCAGCATTATATATGCATCATGTGCATGATTTTTCCATATATGGCATTAGTGGAAATATGCTTTTAGAGACTTGCATGCCGCTATTAGAGCGGCGTGTAGCCTATGGCGCATGCTATATGACGCGCACGTACGTAAATACATAAAAACGAGCCATAACGGCGTGAAAATGTGACACGTTGCTGGTGTTTGGTTGATAAATACGTTTTGCTGTGTAAAAATGCACACACACCTGGTGCATGTGTGCGTTTAGGTTAGTAAATCACCCCCATGGTCTCAGAGTTTAAGTTGTTGGCTGCCAAACCATGTGATCAATAGAGCTATAATGAAGACAGGAGAGAACAGAGCATAGCATAACCACACATATCAATTTGTACATCTGTAGCTTTAGCGGTTCTGGAGATGCAGGTTTTTGAATCGTTCACCGAAATTGTCACAAAAAAGAAAATGGCTGCCACATCATGTGACCCATGACCTTTATATTGCAATAAGCTCTTCATAGCATAGGGCTCTACCATTGTGCAAAGTTTCATGAGTTTTTTTTACCAACAGTGCACTTATTACAGGCATTTGAAATAATAATCTTAACAAAAACAATATGTGTCCTTGCAACTTCGTTGCTTGGCCACCTAAATATAGCTGCAAGCAGCAATAAAGGTGGCCAAGCATTAGAGCCGGTTATAGCGCATGAGAAGATATTGCAGTTTTGCAGATATGTGCAAAGTTCTGTGTTATTCTGATAAATGGTTTCAGAGTTTAAGTTGTTGACAGAATATTGCACAATCCAAAATGGCTGCCAAACCATGTGGTCACATGACTTGTAATGAACATATATGACTGCAGAGCTTAGCATATCCTAACATAGCAATTTGTATATCCGTTGCATTAGCGGTTATGAAAAAAACAGATGTTTGAAAATTGCCAGAAAATTGCCATGCGACCTATGACCTTTATGTTGCCAAAGTTTAAACACAGCACAGTTCTCTAACATTGTGCCAAATTTCATGAGTTTATAAATAACGGTGTGGTTATAATTAGCATTTGAAAAAAGGAGCATCAAAATAATAGGAATATTTGTCGAATTTAAAACAATTCAATATGGCCACCGAACTATGTGGTCAATTGACTTGTAATGATCAGTTCTAAGTGTAAATCACACTGCACTTATTATAGGCATTTGAAAAAAGCGGCGGAATAATAAATAATAATCATCAGCAAAATAACAATAGGTGTCCTTGCAACTTCGTTGCTTGGCCACCTAAAAATATAGCTGCAAGCAGCAATAAAGGGGGCCAAGCATTAGAGCCGGTTATAGCACATGAGAAGATATTGTAGTTAGAGAGATAAATAGCAGGACATGATTTCACGAATGATAATTTTTTTTTCCAATTTTAAAATGGCGCCGAACTTGGTGACATTTGGAACCCATATTGTACTTGACAGTCATGATTTTAAAATTTTCATATATTTAACATACCTCAATAGTGATAGAAATGCACGTTTATGCAATTTGATGCAATGTTAAACGTTATTGGCTTGTGGCGGCCATATTGATTTTGGGATCGGACCTTTTTTTTAAAACCGTGGTAGAAGAGGTAGCCGTGGACATATGTGCAAAGTTTTGATTTATTCTGATAAATGGTTTCAGAGAAGAAGTTGTTTGCAGAATATTGCACAATCCAAAATGGCTGCCAAACCACGTGACCAATAGCGCTATAATGAACACATGTCGCAACAGAGTAAAGCATAACCTCCCACAGCGAGTTGTACATCTGTAGCTTAAGCGGTTCTGGAGTTCTACTTTAACCCCTTCGTGACTGACGACGTACAGTGTACGTCGCCAGCATCGGGGCTGTTTAAACGGACTCCCGGCGACTTTTGAGGTTTAGATGCATTGGTCTATTCAATCAGCATTACTGTCATTGTCAGTGTGATCTGGATGATTATATGGTAAAACAGGGTATCCATGTTTATTTTTTTTTAAAAACCAAGTGCACATGCAAACTAGAGGAATCCAAGGTAACATTTTTTTTTTCTGCCATGACCGAGTTAAATTGATGAAAGGTAAAACCTAACTGGCTACCGTGAATTATTGCACATCAGTGCTCTTTACACAATGATATACATGTTCTTACTGAAAGGCAACACAGTCCTTTATTTTTATATAGTATTTGTAATTCAGCCTCCTGGAAGAAATCAGAAACTCTATATCACAAGCCAGAATAATGAACCGGAATAGTAGGTACCTCGCTCTTCCTGGTCTTTGAAGTGCCACCAGTAGCCTTTAGAAGGATGGTAGCGGCAATAAGACATGGCCTCATCAAATGCAGACTGGATCCCATGAACCGCAGTCAGCTGAAACATGAAAGTGGACTAAATTACACCACAGATAAAAAACCATCATATACTACGCCAAACTATACATTTTACCTTAAACCCAACGTTACATTACTATAATCATTTAAAGCCTAGGTTCACCTTTTAACATTTTCTGACAAAACTGCGGTACATATTTTATTTTCCCAAATACATTTAAAAGACGAGAGGGTGTGGTACTGGTGACCTAACATACTAGTTGCCTTGCTGTTTCTGATCACTGACCAGGAACATGTATATAGAGTAGACAGTAAGAAACCCTAATGTGTATACTTGTTCAGGGTCAGTGACCCAAAGTGATAAAGCCACTTGTATAGCATGACAGTCAGGCAGCTAGTAATTTCATAGGAGTTCAGCATTGTGAGCCTCCATATTTTCTCAGTAGTATTATTATTATTATTATACAGGATTTATATAGCGCCAATAGTTTGCACAGCGCTTTACAATATAAGGAAAAGTATGGCTTGTTTGCTTTTATTATCTTTACTGCCATTTTACCAAGTCTTCACTATGTCTTTATGGAATATGCTTTTTCATGTATTAAGCACTGCAATGAGTGATCTTTAGAGAAAGTAGCCCATGCTGATCTGACTGTACCTGCCATTTGTGGTAGAACATGCTACAGTATCCTCAGGTAGAAGAAAAAAAAAAAAGTGTGCAGGAGAGTGTGAAAATATTGTTTTTTGTTTAGCTCCACAATACTACAAGATAAGGGAAAAAAAACAGACCAAAAATCTCATAAGGAGTTAAAATTAATAAATTGCCTGGGGCAATTAAAAATGTTATCTACCCAAATAAAATGTTTAGGCAAGGCGTGGCCGAACATGGCGGGCTAAGGACGTGCTGATGTGAGCTCTGCAGACCCGGGGCTCTAGACAGAGAATTCTGCACCCTCTAACCTCCTCTTTCCTGCATATGTTCGCTCGTCAGACTCCCTCTTCAGCACCAGACTCTACAGTACACGAGACATCTTGTTTTTCGTCCGGAGCCGGCATCCAAAAGCCTCGGCCAAGCCTAAATGGCGGGGGACCAGACGAACTCGGCATCACAGGGGCACTAAGTCTGCTAAATCCACCAGCCACAAGCAGCTGATCTCCCATACTTCTCCTCACCTGTCTCGGACGCTCCGGTCTCCCCTCCGGGCTCCCTAGATCCATCCATGCCTGCCACCTTCATGGAATCTATTCATGGAATCTGGGGTGTCAGGTTAGAGATTGCCCTGAGGGGGGAGATGAGCGAATTGCGGCAACAGGTTGACAATAGCAACAACAGGCTCACAGCATTGTTGACCACTGTGTCTTCCTGCACCACCTGCATTGATGTCCTAAAAGCCTCCCAATCTGCTCACAGAATCCACCTGCAAAAATTACAACTTCGCGTGGAGGATCGCGAAAATCGTAGCCGCCGCAATAATATCCGGCTGAGGGGGATTCCTGAGGCGACCCAGGGCACATCTGCATGCCACTGTTACTGCGATATTTAACATGGTACTGGGGAAGCCCCCTACTGAGGCCATTGAGCTGGACAGAGTGCACAGGGTGGCTTGCGCTGGTGTGGATCGTCAAAACTTTATTCGGGAGGTACGCTGCCAGGTTCACTTCTACAACATAAAGAAGGAGATCTTGAGACGAGTGTGGCGGTCTGGTCCGGTGGATTTCGATGGAGCCATGATACACCTACTGCCTTACCTCCCGCTTAACGCTGGCAATGGGTACATCTGTCAAACCTCTTCTGGAAGTTATTAGTCAGGCTGGAGCTACTTATCGGTGGGGTCATCCCTTTAGTGTACATATACAGAAGGGATCCGACCACTTCCATCTTCGTTGTCATACTCAACTCCCAGACTTGCTCCGGTTCCTGTTTGTCGCTCCGGTTTCAGTTGCAGACTGGCTCAACGTACCCTTCATAGATGGCGGATTCAGCTTACCCACCTCTCTTCCTCAGAGACTATGTCCTAGCTGTTTATTCCATGTCATGCTGATAACTGTTGTTTATATGGGACGACATATGCTCCTGTGGGTTCTGGATGTGTCCAGGCTTTTCCTAGCTCCCATACCATTCATTGAGTTCATGGGATAATCCTGCAGAGTCCAGGGGGGTTTCCTGGCCCACACCCTCTTTCTTGGGGGTTATGATGTAATAGGTCAACTGTGCTATTCTCCTAAGAATTTGGAGGGTATGTTTTTTGTTGTTGTTTTTAATGCCTTTTATGTTAATTGAGCCCCAGTGGCATCTCTCTGTCTGCTACTTCGACCACTTCTCCCCACATAGGTCGTGCCTTCCCAGTAAGGAATAGGTTAGTTCTAGCGTTTGCTAGATTTTGTCCTACTAGAGGTGGGCTTTCCTGCCCTTTCTAGTCTTTTCTCTCTGCTCTGTACTTCTCTCTTCTCTATTCTACTCTTTTGTCTGTCTTCCTGAGCTTTTATTTTCTGCTTTCTACTCTTCTTTCTTATCTTCGCCTACGTCTTTTCCATCTTCTCTATCCTCTGCCTCACCTTCTCTTTTTGCTCCCGTCCCCCATCCTCCACCATGGCTGCCACTAGGACTTTTGAGGTAGATTTTAAGCTCTGTACTTATAATGCTAGAGGCCTCAATATCCACTCCAAAAGGGGCCAGATCTTGTACCACATGCATAGGGCCGGGATACAGGTTGTCATGTTTCAGGAGACACATTTCCACAGTCCTCATATCCTCCAATGTTCTAACAGGTACTTCTCCAGATGGTATCATAGCTCTAACAGTATAAAGAAATCTAGGCGGGTCTCTATCACCTTGCACAAGTCTCTCCCGGCAACGGTGTTGGACCATCGGGCAGATGAGTTTGGCAGGTATTTATTGCTCAAGTTGTCACTCTGGGGTAGAACCTTGATTCTGGCAAACTTTTACCTCCCAAATACCAATCAGGCCGCTACCGCTGTTCAGTTTTTGAAGATTCTCGCAGAGGGCATGGTGTTAGTGGGTAGGGATTTCAACCTTGCCTTGGAGCCCGGTTTGGACTCCTCGGTAGGTCATTCCGCACTTTTTCCAAAGCTACGTCTATTCAAAAAACGCCTTTTTGATCTCCACCTGGTCAATGTGTGGCGGGTTCTCCATCCTCTGACTCGTGATTATACACACTACTCTACCCCTACAGCGGGTTGGACTATTTCTTTATTTTCTATACCCTGACTGATTGGTTCCCGGAGTGTGAGATAGATCCTACTATTTTTTATGACCATTCCTCAGTGACACTAACTTTGCGGATTCCCCTGACCCCCCCCCCTCGTGAGTGGGCATGGTGCCTTAATGAATCTCTTCTCGTTTACTCGGTCTCACTTTCCCTCGAGATTCATCAGTTCCTCATGATTCATGAGCAAGACCCCACCCCTCTCCCGAATCAGTGGGAAGCCCTCAAGGCGGTTGTTCGGGGTATCATGATTAAACTTGGTTCCAGATGGAAAAGGGAATGTTCTCAATGCGTATGTGATAACTTTTCAATCTCTGCGAGACCTGGAAACACAGTACAATGGGTCCCCTAGCCCGGACGTTTTATTACAAATTTAGCAGGCTAGATAGAAGCTACTAGGGCTTTTCGATGATTCTACCCACAAATATACTGATAAATTGGCCTATTGGATATACACTATATTGCCAAAAGTATTGGGACGCCTGCCTTTACACGCACATGAACTTTAATGACATCCCAGTCTTAGTCCGTAGGGTTCAATATTGAGTTGGCCCACCCTTTGCAGCTATAACAGTTTCAACTGTTCTGGGAAGGCTGTCCACAAGGCTTAGGAGTGTGTCTATGGGAATGTTTGACCATTCTTCCAGAAGTACATTTGTGAGGTCAGGTACTGATGTTGGACAAGAAGGCATGGCTCACAGTTTCCACTCTAATTCATCCCAAAGGTGTTCCATCACCTTTGGGATGAATTAGGCTAGTCAAGTTCCTCCACCCCAAACTCACTCATCCATGTCTTTATGGACCTTACTTTGTGCACTGGTGCACAGTCATGTTGGAACAGGAAGGGGCCATCCTCAAACAGTTCCCACAAAGTTGTGAGAATGAAATTGTCCAAAATGTCTTGGTATGTTGATGCCTTAAGGGTTCCCTTCACTGGAACTAAGGGACCAAGCCCAACCCCTGAAAAACAACCCCACACCATAACCCCCCTCCACCAAACTATACACTTGGCACAATGCAATTAGGCAAGCACCGTTCTCTTGGCAACCACCAAACCCAGACACGTCCATCAGATTGCCAGACAGAGAAGCGCGATTTGTCACTCCAGAGAACATGTCTCCACTTCTCTAGCGTCCAGTGGCGGCTTGCTTTGCACCACTGCACCCGACGCTTTGCATGACACTTGGTGATGTAAGGCTTGGATGCAGCTGCTCAGCCACGGAAACCTATTCCATGAAGCTCTATACTCACTCTTGATGTGCCAATCTGAAGGCCAAACGAAGTTTGGAGGTCTGTAGCTATTGACCCTGCAGACAGTTGCGACTTCTGCGCGCTGTGAGCTTCAGCATGCGCCGACCCTGCTCTGTCATTGTACTTGGCCTACCACTTCTTGGCTGAGTTGCTGTTGTTCCCAGTTGCTTCCACTTTGTTATAATACCACTAACAGTTGACAGAGGAATATTTGGTAGCAAGGACATTTCACAGATGTACTTATTGCATCCCGGTACCTATCCTTGTACAACACTTGAATTCACTGAGCACCTGAGAGCGACCCATTCATTCACTGTTAGTAGAAGCAGTCTGCATGCCCAGGTGCTTGGTTTTACACACCTGTGGCCATAGAGGTGATTTGGAACACCTGAATCCAATACTTTTGGCAATATAGTGTAGGAGTTCAGAGAAGTGTTGTAGGGCCCTGGCTAGGACCTTACATCCTAGATCCTCTCACACATTCGTATCACATGTCAAGACATCTTCAGATGAACTTGTTCACTCCCCTTCAGCAATCAAACAGGCGTTTGCAGAGTTTTAT